GCTTTTTACTCTTTTACTTGGCCCAAACTCATGCTGCAGATCCAATTTCTCCTTCACTCTTCACCTTTAGTTTTTTAAATAAACTTTGCTACTGCTTTTTGCTTGTTTTGCTCAATTCCAATTCTTTGCTTGAGACAAGAAGAACTTGGAATTTTAACTCCAGGAGAGGCAAAGCAACCCTAAACCTGGTAATGTTTAATTACCTGCCACTTTTAGAAGGAGCTACCAGATAACATTCTTACTCTCCCACATTCCAAGGATCTACCCTTCCCAGGGTCTTCATAGAAGTTTCAATGCTGATGAAGTTGCTTTTCTTTGATTGTACTACAGCTGGGATCTTAAACATTCCCCAAGAGCCAGTGTTAAAGGCTCAGCCCACAGCTTGATGCTGAGGTATGGGCAACTTTAAGAGGCTGGGCCTAGTAAGATGTCTCTAGACACAGGGACATTTTCTTGAGGGGATGTTAGGACATTGACACCTCCCTTCTCCTTTCTTCTCTCTCTGGCTTCCTGACCAGCATGAGTGGGGCAGCTTGTCCTCCCCAGTGTGACGTGCTGCTGTGCCAAAGCCATGGAACAGTGGCAACACAGCATGGACTAAAATGTCCACAACTGGGAGCCAACAGAAATCTTTCTTCTTAAAAGTTGGTATCTTGGGTATTTTGTTATGGAGATAGAAATTTAACACATGGATTGTACTTTGGTATCACATCTACTCCCTTCTTAAAAAGCTCCAGGTTATAAATATTTTCTTCCTATGTTTACTTCTGAAAGTTCTATATATTTTCTATTTAAGCCCATGATCCCCATTTTTAGTTAATTTTTATATAAGGTGTGAGACTTATATTGAGGCTATTTTTTCCCCTATATATATCCAAATGTGCCTGGACCATCTGTTACACAGACATCCTCCACTGAATTGCCTTTATTCTTTTGTAAAATTCAAACAACTGGTTAATACTCATGTGGAGCTATTTTTAGGTTATCTGTCTGTCTGTCTGTCTGTCTGTCTATTCATTTACTTAGTTTTGCTTTGTTTTGTTTTTTTTGGTACTGGGAATCAAACCCACAACCTCACTCTTGCCAGGCAGGCGCTGTGCCACTGAGCTATATCCCTGGCTCTTACTTAGTTTTTTTTGAGATGGGCTCTTGCTATGCAGCTCAGGCTAGCTTTGAACTCATGGCAATCCTCCTACCTCAGCCTCACTGTGCACCACCACACTCAGCTAATCTATTGATTTATATATTCATTCTACTGTCATTACCAGTCTGGATTATTGTGGCTGTACGTCTTCTAAATAAGTAAAGCAATTCCTTCTGTTATTCAACTCTTTCAAAATTGTTTTAGCTATTGTACATCCTTTGCCTGCCCACCTAAATTTTAGAATAATCGTATATACATATATATAATAAACATATTTTAGATGTATTATTATATTGAATCTTGATGCATTATTATGTTGAATTTTGACAGTAAGTTTTATTGTACTTATTTTCCACAATTAGTATAATATTATCTATTTGAAAGTGACCATACATAAGTTGAACAGAAAATGTATGCCATAAAGATTAGCTGGTCTCTGAATTTACTGCCATTTTAATTTTTAATGGAAGCATAAGATTGAAAAACACTTGAGAATCTTCTGAGCATAAAGAGAAAAGAGAGAGGCAAGTAAGACTTCAAGGAAAAACAGATTAGTGTAAGGCTCAGTTTTGATTTTTTTCCCACCTGTACCTCATATCCTTCTCTTTCTTCTACGCCTTTATCTTAAACTAAAAGGAGGGAACAACTAACATCATCTTCAAGTAATTTAACTTTACACTGTGGTAGATTAAGTTACCTTTTCTCAAAAGCCAAATTAGTTTAAAGTTTCATGATAGAATCTTTCCTTTTATATTATATAATAACACATGAAGAGCATAATCAAAACAATCAGAAATAGGGACTGGGGATTTAGCTCAGTGGCAAAGCACCTGCCTGGCAAGCGCAAGGTTGTGAGTTCGATTCCTGGTACTGGAAGAAAAACAAAAACAAACAAACAAAACAACAACAACAACAAAAAAAAAACAATCAGAAATAATTGACCAAATAAAACCAATGCTACAGCTGGATGTGGTAGCTCACAGCATTGTAATCCCAGCACTCAGGAGGCTGAGACAGGAGAATTGCTGAGAGTTCAAGATCAGCCTAGGCTACAAAGTCAGCTCAACACCAGCCTGAACTGCATAGCAAGACCTACCTCAAAAAGACAAAATAAATAAAAAAAATAAATAAAATTGATGCTACAGAAGAAACATATGTTTCTTCTACCTCAAGAAAGCATAACTTTACAGAATTTCAGTAAGATTGCTGCTAATAATAACACTTCCTGATTTATAACTAGGTAAAGAAGAAACAACTGTGAGTCTTTAAACTGGACTAAAATTCTGATTAAGAGCTCAGGCTATGGAGTCCTAACTCTACCACTAACTGGCTACTTGATTTGGGCAACTAAATTCTTTGAGAATGAGTTTCCTCATATATGTAAAATGAAATTTTTTTATAATGGGTCTATGCTACACAGAATTGTGAGGCTGAAGGATCATGCATATAAACCACAACAAAATGAATATTTATGAATATTGCCAATATAGAGTATTTGGAGGTGGGGTCTTTGGTAGGTGATTAGATTGTGAGGGTAGAGTCCTCATTAAAGTGTTTATTTAGTACCTTTAAAAAAGAAACTAAAGAAAATAGGTTTGTCCTTTCTGCCCTATGAGGACACAGTGAAACGAATCACTTATAAACTAGGAAGCAGCCCTCCCTAGACACTAAATCTGCCAGTGCCCTGATCTTGAACTTCCCAGCCTCCAAAACTGTGAGAAATAGGCTACTGTCATTATTAAGCCACTCAGTTTAACATACCTTTATTAAAGCAGCCTAAACTGACGAAGACAACATATTAAAAGTGAACCTCCATGCCTCGCATATGGTAAGCCCTCCATACATACTAATTACTATTATTATATACTCAGTTTTGTCAGGGAAAATTATACATAAGCTTCCCTATATAAAGGACAGATAATGTAAAGGATGCTTTAAAGGTCTATCAAGCTTTATGAGCTTCAGATTCTAGACAGATATCATTTGATTGAAGTGATCCTTTTTCCTGCAATACACTCCCCCATCTAGAATGGCCATAGTTTATAGCTAATGAAATGAACTCACATAAAACAGGATGTCTGATTTAACCTTCACAGAGGTAGGATGTCATCCTTTGAAGTTTAGTTACTACTAAATGGCTACGTTGGTATATACAATTGAAAATCTGAATTTCTAGTTAGGCAAGTTAGAAATTTTGCAAATTCTATATAACTAAAATCTGTATAATTAAGGAGGTAAAGGTGTAATCTAATCTGTTCCTTTATAATACTATCACTCAAAACAAATTCAGTAGCAAAAAAAGTAGAAATTAATGATTAGAAAAATAGTATGACATTATGACATTATCTGTGGTTTCAATGATTCCATCCACAGCAATCAAACATCACTCATAAATGGATTTAAATAGAATTAGGAGTTTTATAAAGTGTATAAGAACATCACAGCACAAAAATGTGATGATATTGCTTTTAGTTTGGTAATGAAACAGGTTATATAAAATTACAGAAGTTGTAATTAAATAGGTAAGCAAGTGATTCGGGAAAAAGGCAGGGAATTTGGTCATTTTCTACATACTACCACCCTGAATAAGTGAGCATTGAGTACCTTCATTTCTACTGTGTTTCAAAAGTTGCTTCCTTGAACTTCAGAACATTTTTTTAAATGGTAGAGGACTAGAAAGAAGTTAATTTAAAAAAGAACGAAATTTAAAAAGGGCTGAATGGGGCTACATGACTATCAGTGATAAGATCTCAGAAAAGCTTTAAGTATGCCACATGTAGGGGTTTAGCCTGCAATTGAAGAATTTTTTTAAAATCACTGTTGAGATATTGTTATCATGGTTAATGGTAGTATGGGGAAAAGTAATCAGAATATTTGTCCTTTAGAATATGATATATCCCAGATTACACTCATGAACTTGAATCATTTCCTTCAAACAGATCCAGTATTCCTTAGACTCATCAGGACTACCACAAGATAATGTAATTTGAGTGTCTTTTCACAGCTATATTCCACAGCAGGGCACTAGTTTTAGTCACTATCACCCACTCACTACTAATACACAGTGACTCAAGCACACAAATGATTATCCCTCAAAATCAAATTAATAACATCTTGTGAATATAAATGCTCACTGGAATACTATTAAGACTTTATAAATCTTCAATCTTTGCAAAACATGCATTGAAATAAGTTTAGCCTAAGCTCAAGAAGATTTAAGACTGATAATATTAAATCTCTATATAATTGCATCCCACTATACTTGAAATCTATTTGCAATTTAACAAGAAAAAAATTTACAGTCATTTCAAATTTCTTTCTCCTGTTCTTTCACTGGATTTTCTTTTTTTTTCCTTTTGTGACTTTCAGTTCTACAAGGTGATTTTTTTCGAAAGATAGAGCAGGGCAAAGGAAATAAATAAAGGTAAAATAAAAATAACAAGTCAGATATGAGAAGAGAAAGAGACCAGGTGTCAAGGAAAAAGCAACAACAATCAACATGAAATAAAACTTAGAAAACAAGACCTAAAAACTTTTGTATATATGAAAAGAATGACTACTTATTCTTCATGATTTATTTTGGTGCAAGCAAAAAAATTTGGTGAAGGATAGATTTAAAAATATACTAGTTTATATCCCATTCTTTCTCAAATAAGCTTATGTTTTTAAATTAAAAAGCCGGCGGGGGGGGGGGAGGCAATTCTTTTGAACATTAAGGATAAAAGTAAAGCCTGATAATACTGAAATATAAAATTATAAACTTTAGCTACAGTTTGGCATTTGCAAACATTTAAATCCTTTCAAGCCACATAACATTCTAGGTGGAAACATAACATGATAGGAGATTTCTAGTTACCGTTTAAATTTGAAGCAGTTCATCCATTCCAGTAACAAAGCGGGTGTTAGCAGCTAGTGTTACATTCATTGAAAATTTCAAAGTGCTCTGAATCTTTCCAAGATCAATGTCCTTTCTTCTTTGCCTCTCATTCCTTAAATTACGTTCTGAAGACAGTAATGTTTACTGAAAGAGAAAAATTTAAAAAATAATAGCGCTAAACAGGAGTAAACTAGTTTCAAGGATATTGGATATCTTTATTTTCTTTGGGATATTCCTAATTTCACTATCTCAACAGCTGTAATTGATCTGATTATTTAAGAAGTAAGATCCTTGCTTAGGCAGACATACAGAACCTCACATACTCAAGTACTCCCATGTTGTGCTGAGAACCAGGTCACTTGCAAGAATTGCAAGACCACTAATGCCTTGACATTCTTTAAGACTTCATTTGATTGTGCTTGTGGACTTATTTTGCTAGAAGGATATGGATATTATTTCATTGAGAAATCATTAAGTTCTACTTCTCCTTAATAAAAATAAAATTTTAGAAGTCACAAAGGCCGACTTTGGTCTAATCTCTGGAAATAAGAAAGTAGCTCTCTCCAAATGCAAGTATTTCACTAGCCACTTGGCAGTTTTAGTTTAGGCTCAAGAATAAAATATAGAATTTTCACCTCAAACTAATACTGTAGATTCTTACTTATTTCTGAGTCTATGTTCAAAATTGGCTCAACAGCCAATTTGTATTCTCTGTATTATCAAATAGAAAGAACATAAGTCCAAGAGTTAGTAGAAAATAAAAGACAAATACCATTATTTTACAATAATTCCTGATTGTTTACATGTCATAGAATTAAATCTTTCAATAAATTTTAAGACAACAGAACAGTACTTTAAAAATTAAAGGTTTGTAAAGAATACTATCAAACAATATCTAAAATCAACATGTCTGGATTGTTCATGATGAAAAACTCCACTATCAAGTTGATTTAATTCCAAGATGCAATCATGGTCCAATATACACAAATCAACAAATGCAATACAGGACATAAATAGAATCAAGAATAAAATCACATGATCATCTCAATAAACATAGAAAAAGCTTTTGATAAAATTCAACATCCCTTCATGATAAAATATATACATAAAATAGGTATAGAAGGTTCATACTTTAACATAATGAATATTATACATGACAAGCCCACAGCTAACATATGAAATGGGAAAAAACTCAACACATTTCCTTTAAAACAAAGGGAAAAAAAAAAAAAACAACAAGTGTATCTACTCTCATCACACTTGTTCAGTATAGTATAGGTACTAGAAATTTTAGAGCAATCAGGTTAAAAGAAACAAATAAGGGATATAAATAGGAAAGAAGGCCAATTATTACTGTTTGCTGATGATATGATTATATACTGAGATAACTCTAAAGATGCCACTAACAGACTTAGAATTGATAGATACATCCAGAAGAGTAGCAGGAAACCAATATACAAAATCAATATACAAAAATTGGTAGCTTTCCTATAGATCAATAATACACTTGCTCAGAGAGAAATCAGGAAAACAATCCCATTTACAATAGCCTCAAAAAAAGAAATTTAGGAATAAACCCAACTAAGGAAGCAAAAGACTCTACAACAAAAATTACAAAACACTGAAGAAAAAAATGAAAAAGACAGAATATCGAAAACCCTCTCAAGTTCTCAGATTGAGAGAATTAATACTGTTAAAATCTGAATATTGTTAGTACTACCCTAAGTGACCCACAGACTCAATGCAATCCTAATCAAAATATCAATGTTTCCTGCACAAATCCCTAAAATTCTAGCAGTCTGAGAGGCTGAAGCAGGAGGACTGCAAACTCAAGCTCAGCCTGGGAACTTAGGGCCACATACTGCCCAAAATAAAAATAAAGGGCTCAGGACACAGCTCGATGTAAAGGCCCTAGGTTCAACCCCCAGGACTGCAAAAATAATTCACAATACAAAAAAGTATTATTGTTCACAGAACTAGAAAAAACAATCCCAAAATTCACATGGAAGCACAAAGACCCTGAATAGCCAAAGCAATCCTGAGCCAAAAGCAATGCTGAAAGCATTATCACAATATCTGATTTCAAAATATATTACAGAGTCATGGTAAATAAAAACAGCATGGTTTTGGCATAAAAACAGACACATAAACCAATGGAACAGAATAGAGGCCCCAGAAAAAAACCCACACATTGACAGCCAACTGATTCTTGCCACAGATGCCAACAACATGCTGAAGAAAAGACAGCCTCCTGAACAAATGGTGCTGTGAAAGCTGGGTATCCATATGTAGAATACTGAAACTAGGGCCCTTTCTACCCCCTATACAAAAATCAACTGCAAATGGATCTAAGATTTTAAAGTAAGACCAGAAATTGAAACTATCTGAAAAAAACATATAGGAGAAACACTTCAAGATAATGGAACAAGCAGCAGCTTCCTGAAACAGACTTCAACAGCTAAAGAAATCAAAGCAATACTTGACATCAAATTAAAAAGCTTCTGCACAGCAAAGGAAACAATTAGCAGAGTAGAAAGACACCCTACAGAATGGGAGAAAATCTCTGCCAACTATCCAACCGACAGAGGGTAAGTATCCAGAACATATAAAGAACTCAAACAGCTTAACAACAAAAGAACAAGTAATCCAATCAAAATGTACAAACGATCCCAACAGACACTTCTCAAAAGAAGTAGAAATAGCCAACAACTTTGTGAAAAAATGTTGAATATCCTTAGGCATTAAAGAAATCCAAATCACAAGTACACTGAGATCCCATCTTATTCTAGTCAGAATGGCTATTATCAAAACCAAGCCAAAAAACAAAAAAACAAACAAAAAAACTCCCAAAAACTGCTGAGGAGGCGGCAACAAAGGAACTCTTATGTACTATTGGTGGGAAGGGACTGCCATAGTGAAAAACAGTATGGATGCTCCTCAAAAAAACTAAAAATAGAACTACCATTTGACTCTGCTCTCTTATTCCTGGGTATATATGTGAGGGAAATGAAGTTTGCATACCAAAGAGATAGCTGTATGCTTGTGTTTATTTTGGCACCATTTGTAATAGCTAAGGGATGGATGGTATCAGCCTACACACCCATCAAATTATGAAAGGATAATGAAAATACAACACACACATACAAAGGAGTATTAGTCAACCATAAAGAAGAGTGAAATCGGGTCAGTTGTAGGAAAATGGATAGGACTGGAGCTTATCTGTCAAGTAAAATAGCCATGAAGACAAGTATCATGTTTTCTTGCACAGGTGGAAAATTAAAACAACCTGAAAGTAGAAGTAGGGGCCTAGGGGTTGGACAGAGAGAAAGGAGGGTAAGAGAAGGCAGAAGGCAAGGTGAACAGGATCTAATCACAATACATGCCCATACATAAATGCTGCAGTGAAACCCACTAATTTGCACAATTAGTGTGTGTTATATCATAAGCCATTAAAGAAGAAAAATGCAACTTATTCCAATTTGTTTTTATTCTGAACATGTAAAAAATGATCATATGGATATACAAATATTAGTTACCTAGAAAAATACACAGTGATAGAGAAATAATTTCCAAAGGCAGATGTTTGGCTACTGGCAAGATTGAAGATCCAGATCTTTTTAGTATCTCCTAATTTGTGTTTGATTTTACTGAATATTTTATCCTTGGACTTGCAAATGTTCCATCATAATACAGCCTTTGAAAGCTCATTCAAAAACATAAGAGGGAAAGAGATAATAAAGAATGTTTAATTACATTTTCATTTTTAAATAGTATGTGATTCATAGACAAGATATTGTTGGATCTTAACATTTTATCCAGGCTGAAAATCCCTGACTTTTAATAAATTTAAGAAATACTTATTCCATTTATCTTATCCATTTACATTTAATATAACTACTGAAATGACTGCATTCAAAACTACCATTTTGATTTTTTATATTTCTACTGATTTTTGCTTCTTTTGTTCCTGTTTCTCCCTTTTCTACCTTAATTTAAGTTAAGTTTTGATGGTTTAATTTAATTGCTCTGTGGGTGACATTCTAAGAATTACAACATGCATTCTCAAATGATCACAGTTTACTTAATACATAGAGGTTTACTATATGATTACATTAATAAAAAGGGTATTTTTGTAAATGTAATTATATTGAATAAGCATAAAACCTACAACAAAATAACTCCATGTACTATAATATCCTTTTTGGTAATTTCAATATATATTAAACCTCTACATGTACAACAAAACCCCATAATGAAGTGCTTTAATATTTGGTTTAAAAGCCAGTCCCCATCCATTACTGCGCATTGAACCCAAAGGCTCTGCCATGAGCTATGAAACCAGCCTTTTCTTGAAACATTTTTGTTTTAAATTTTGAGTCTAAATTGCTAAATTGCAGCTGAAACTTGTAAACCTCCTTCCTCAGCCTCCCAGAGTGCTGGTATTACAGATGTGTGCTACCACAAGCAGCTAAATCAGACTTCTTTTTAAAGAAAGCATCAGAAGGAAAAAAAAAAATCATTTTGTGTTCATCATTCTTGGTGGTTTTTATTTTTATGTCTGATATTATTGCCCTTTGGTTTAAAAACTTAGCATTTTTATGTGCACTGTGTTGATAATGAACACCTAATCTACCTTTAATTTTGAATATTTTTGATTTACAGATTTCCAAGACGAAAGTTGTTTTAGATTTTTTTTTTTTTTTTTTGAGACAGATCTTGCTCTGTAATTCAGGCTGGCCTTGAGCTCACTATGTAGCCCAGGCTGGCCTCAAACTCATGCCAGTGCTCCTGCCTCAGCCTTCTTCATGCTGGAATTACAGGCATGTACCACCATGCCTGGCTAGAATATTTTTAAATAACTCTTTAAAGATGTCATTCTATGGTTTTTTTGGTTTCCATTTTACCAAGGCAGCTAGCATTATTTTAACCTAGTGTTTTATTTTCTAGCTGTTTTCAAAATTTTTCTTTTCCATTTTCAGAAAAATGACTATTCTATACATAGCTTTGGTTTTCATTATATTTATTTTACTTGGAGTTCACTGAACTTCTTGGTCCTGTATGTTAGGGGTTTTTTGCCAAACAAATTTTTAGCCCTTACTTCTTCAAAAACTTTTTTTTTCCTGTCCCATTTTCTTTCTTCTCCT